TGCTGAATTTTCATCTTTACCCATTAAACACTACTGCAACAAAAAAATCCCTTTCTGGTTTTATAATGAAGATGTCACTGCTGAAAAGTGAGTTGGTGTGCTGCCTTTTGAGCTGTCGGTTTACAGGCAAGCTGTACCTTCTTGTGGTGTCCTGGCAAGAAATTAATAAATTAGACACTTAACCACTCTTCTTCATGTTACAAATGCATACCAGCCTTTTCAATCAGAGAAATGTGTTCACATAATAATCTAGCTTGTAGGATATTATTACAATAATTAATTTACTTTCCTTGCTTTTTTGCTCTTATCTTACCGCAGTAGGGACAGAGTCACTCGTCTCTTGGGTATTTCGATGCAGGGCAGACAGTTTGTGTGTAGGTCTGGGTTATTTCACGTTTTTTCCTGCATTTTGTGCATTGCCTTGAACTTTCAACCCTCTTGTCCTGGTCTTCAATGGAACTTATGCACCCCAAGTGAAATCACCCTAAAGGCCAGTGCTTTGCTTATTTGTGTTATGTCAGGCTCTATCAGCGTCTTAAAAAATGCTCTTCCAGCTCTGCATGGGGTATTGTGTCTGTTATGCAGCAGGTTTTGCAAATCCCACCAGGGCTATAAAGTACTGAGTGGAGACCCAGCCCTTGGCTGCAGTATTTGGGTCCAGCCCTCCTCTTTTGCAGTCACAACGTTTGATACACATACTGGTTTATATCAGAGCTCAAGACCCTGCTCTGTTTCTGTTGCAAAAATTTTCCACTCCTGCTGTCCTCTATCCATAATAGATAATGCTTTGAAAACATTTTATTTATTACAAAGACCTTGGCTGACATGATTCACCTCGGCAAGCAGTGAACATTATACATATATATATATACACATACACACACACACTCACATATATATATGTGTCACCTTTGCAAGGTCTACCAAAACACTCTGGGCACTCAAAGGTGGTACTTCTGTTAAAGATGTTGGTGTTTACAAGCAAGGCAAAACTCTTTAGAAACAGCAAAAACTAGGTCTAACAAAAATAGTTTAAGTAAACAAAGATGTTTCTCTTTTGAGAGGAGGTAGATGTGCCTGTGTAAGCACATGATCCCTATGGAATCTGCCCCACCACAGAATATAAATAAAAAAAAAAATCCACAGTGGGAAATAAAAAAAAGCAGGAGCTTTGTTGCTCTTCCTTTCCAAGCATCTCATCATTAGGATACGGTGGGCTGGTGTATGATGGCTGCTGCCTGACACTGTTTCTCCAGTAGCATTTGCCTTACTACATGTCTTGAAGGACAACAGCAGATTCCTCCTCTACATGTGTGGCCAAAGAATTTCAGTTTTCCACCAGAATGAAGTGGGGGCATGTATAACTTCATTACATGAGTGGGAGCGGGTCATGTAGAGCAACATTGTGAGTGCCCCCCCTCCCCATCACCTTAGCCTCAGTAAATCTCTGCCTGGATTGAACCGATGGGATATCTCAGCCTTTTTTTATAGATGTAGTTGAAGGCAGGTGACCTTTGTTATTTAGTAGCTTTATCATCATCTGCTCCACCATGGGTATCACCTGTATTTCCAGGAAATATATGAAAACATTTTGAAGCATGCGGGATTGAGATCATTTTTGAGAGGCATCTTACGAAGTTTCTTTCCTTGGGAAAGGATTTGTTTCTTGTTAGGAAGCTTGTAGCTCTATTGAAACTGTTTTTGTTGTCCATAAAACCAGAAGGAAGATGCTGCCGCCTGACTGCATACCCTGTTTTGTATTGTTTGAAAACAGATTGTTTCCCTTGACCTTAGTGGGAGTTTAGATGAAGTCACAGCAAAGGAATATAGCTTAAAATATAGGGTAGAGGATGATGTCTTCTCCCTTTTAAATCTATGATAACCAATAAGCTCAAGTAACTTCATAAGAAGTATTTCAGAAGGAGCCTGAACAGTGAAGAGCACTGGTATTTTAATTTTAATAGATTATGATCGTTTGTCTAGGAAGAAAATTTAATTAATTTCTGCATCAAGCTGTATTTTTGGTTTATAAGACTAATGCCTTAAAAAAAAAAAACCAAAACAGTCTTGATTTAAAGACTTTAAGATGTAATATAAATACTTCGAAATGCAGACAGCAACATTCTGTTATTTAAAAAAAGTATCAGAAAAATGTAATATCTGTGATACTATCAGCATGCCAGATATCATACCACCTGAAACTTCTTGGGAGGTTTTCTTACAGCCCTGTTAGCTCAAGACCCTGTGTGGATCAACTTTTACACATTTTTCAAGTCAGCAAGACTGCAAACAAGGATTTAGAGACTGTAAAGTAGTAAAATAGCAAAGGAGAGACACTGGAGTTGGAGAAAGGGGACTCTGATATTTAGTTTCTTTTTCTTGGCATTATTTAGACTCCCAAATGACAACGTTTCTAGTTTTCTAGCACAAAGGAGGCCTCATGCTGTTCAGGATCTGCTGTAAAGTTCTAGTACAGATCATTCTGTATCCCAAACAATTTATCTAGTTGAATGATATTTTTATTTCACAGCTACAGTTTATACACCCTGGTCTAATAGATGGTATTTTTGGAAACCTCCTGTTTATCTAACAATAAAAGTCAGGATGGAATATCAGCTTCCATTTAGATTTTCCTGAATTCTCTCCTATGATATCAATAACATTATTTTTTTAAAATTAAACTTTCTTTTGATTTTAAGGAGAAAGACTAAAAAGGAAAAATTAAAATACTATTTAAAACAAATACTAAGGTAGAAAAAAGAAAAATGGCATTAATTTCAGATAAATAATCTGGGTGGGTTTTGTTACATTTACAACATTATAAACTTTAGTTTTAATTGCAGGAATGTAAGTGATTTACAACATACGCTGTGAATGCTGGAAGTAAATGTGAGCAGGCCATTGTAACTTTTAGTTTGTGCACATCAGTCTCACGTCTTAAATCTGAGCTGTTCTGAGAGAGACCAAGAGGCTGGAGAGGGAGAATCAGATCAAAAAACTTTTTGACAAATTGACTTCCAGAAAATAACAATACCTTCTGTTTTCTGACTAAACTCAACTACCTGAAAGGAGCTTTATAAACATAATCGGTCGCAGTAGCACTTTCATTTCTGTCACAGAGGTCTAAATAAATGAATTGGCCATCTGCAATTAATTCGCATTGTACAAATAGTTTGAAGACTGAGTCGTCTGTCTTCCGAACAGAACAATCTATATTTAGCTTTTCAAGCAAGCCTGTTTTGTGTTCTTTGTAGAGTCAGCGACATTCTTTCAATTTTTCAGCTTAATTAACACAAAAGAAATTGTAATCTGAGAAGGCAGCAGAAACAAGAACCCCCTGAAAACCATGAATTTGCAAGAAAGCAGAAGATGGCAGCTTTGCAAAAGATAGCTGGCAAAAAGAAAGGGAGAAAAAAAAAACTTCAGAGCAGTTTGTGGGATTATGGCTGGATACTATGAATTTTATATACAGTTTGTTGATTTACACTGAATGCTCACAGGTCTTGCAAGTTATTTTGGGTTTTTTTATTCTGAAAATGATGAGGGCCACAGAAAGTACATTTTCACATAAGATAATAACTACAACAGAAGAATTCTTGTGAATAAAGAAGCTTTCTGTAAAATTACGTACAGACGTCTGACCTGGGTGTGAACATTGGTGCATGCTTCCTGGGTGGTTGAGGGAACACTGAATCCCCTCCAGATGGACTCCGTGCGCCTGCAATCGTAGATAAATCCTTATTGCATGCTCAGATATATTCATATATCTTCAATTTTTATTAGAATTATGCCCTGACAAATGCAAAAATATCCATGCATCACAAGATGTATTCTGCACTATATTAGTTAGAAGAGTTGTAGCAATCATTTGAGAAAATGAAGGCACAGCTTACTGCTCAGAGGGATTTAAGTTAAAATGTTAGTTCTAGGTTAAAAAAAACGGAGTGCGAAGCTGAATAAAGAGAATACCAACTGCAATCAGTGAATGTTCAGATATAGTACTTTGAAATAACGATGAGATTTCTGTGCCTGCTGGCAGGTGCTTTTCTTTTTAGATATATTAAATATACAACATTAGCATTTGCTGTGCATTGATATTATGCATGCATAGCATGTACGCTTCTCAATTAAACATCTTCCCAAGTATCCATTTGTGGACACTTGTTTGAAATACACAAACAGAAGGGGGAATAGTTATAAACACTCAGCCTCCCCTCTCTGAATCCAGGCAGAGCTCGAAAGCCTGGTGTACAACTCCAAGAGGCATGCTAGGGACGTCAGCAGGCAGCCCCGCTCAGCTCGTGGCCACTGCAGCCAGGGAGTGGGAACATGTATTCCTTCAACAACGGGTGCACCTATAGCCTTACAGTCCTGAGTCATGTGCACCATCTATTAAAAAATAAAATGTAGATTCTGAGTTGTATAACATGGAGTATTTAGAGGTATTTAGTTGCCTAAAAATACAGCAAGCTTCCTAATGGGATTCTTTTGCAAATATTGTGGTAGGTATGGCAAATAGATCCACCTCAGATCCATCTGCAAGCCCTTTCAGAGATGTACCTGCATCTTTAGATACAGAGATACCTTTTGAAATCTGGTCTCTGGGTACTTTTGAAAACTATTGCTCAACTGATTTCACTAATCCAGCCATCCTGAGTATCAGCTTTATCTGGTTGCTTCCCAATACTTGTGTATGAAGCAGTCGTATCACATATTACAGAAAAAAAATGTGCAGAAAAAGGGTTTGTTTAACAAGCTGAATTTAGTTCCCAGAACTGTAAGTACCTTCAAGTGTATTAAATTAAAGTAGAAGCCATGACTGACTTCTGATTAAAATATGATTATTCAGTTTGTTGCAGAAAAGGGCTCCTGTAGGATACCACTGACTTCTCTTCTCTAGCTCTAACCAGTTTCGCAATACCAGAGCCTCACCTCTCAAAATAAGTGCTGGGGGAGATTCCTTTCACTGCCAAGGGCTTCAAAGACCGTATCCTCTTCTCTCCTTAACTGTAGAAACAGGCTCTGTTTTCCATCTGCAAATGAAAAGTGCAACTGAGCAGTTAGGGGGGGAGGAGGAACAACATCAATGTTCTTACTAAAAAACAATAAGGAAGTTATTAAGCTGTTGCAAAGCGCCTGTGAAGGAGTAAGGAGGTGTGTAACTGTCATGTGCAGTCAACTTTCAATGATGCTGAAAATAAAAGGAAAGGGTGAGCCGTGGCAGGACGGTTGATTTGCTCACCTATAAACTTGGGAAACCTGAGTAAAGCAACCTGTAAGTTTCTTTAAAAGCTGTCTCACTCATTTTAACTTCAAGGTCTTCACAGTGCCAGATTTGATAAGCAGTTCTAACTACAGGTAGTATGAAAGCTGCTGATCAACGCTGAAAGTTGGTGATGAATATTAAATACTGTGAAAAAGTTGGTGATGAATATTAAATACTGTGAAAAATCATTTTGCATGCTTTTGCATGAATTGGCATTGTGAATTTGCCCCACACAATGCTAGAGGAGGTAGAGGAAAATGCATGTTAGTATCATCTTTTTCAGTATCTAAAAGCAGGCAGAAGAAAAGAACAGGCACAACTAATCAATGAAGTGGGATTTAATTATTATTTGAATTTTACTTGCAGGAGTTTTCCATTCTGGGAAATATGCAGGCATGCCTTTTGTGTCTAAGGGCTAAATATACTTATACTACTAATAGGTTAATAAGTGTACACTGCTTTATTACAAAGATTTGTGGGTATTCATTAAACAATTTCAGTGCATTAAAAACAACAAGATAGATTTCTGTGATGTCCATACTTTTAAAGTTAAATTTTTGGATCTTTTTTTAAGGAAAAGTAGATTTAATTCTTAAAGTATAGTTAAGTACATTAAGAAAACAGGAAATATGTCCTAAAGTATGTTTGGTTTAAGCCCTGTAAGAAAGTCTATTTAAGGATTCTTCTGTAAGGATGTAAATTCTGAAATGCCTATTTAGTGTAACAGTTGTAAAGTATGTGAGGTAGTCTATCATACCTTTGGCTTTTATACTCAGCCAGGTTACTTGCCAACATAAACAAAGACTTAAAGGCTTGTTTTTCAGACATTTCAGACAGAATTCAGTGTAAACCTTTCACTTAATCCATAATATCCTAAATATTAATTAAGTATTTCTGAAAGCAATCAGCCAAAATTGTAATTTCTAAAGACAGCATGACGGTATCTTCTACTTCATCCATTTTATTCTCTCATGCTTGTCTCTTAAAAGAAATAAAGTATTTCCTTTTTTAAAAATGCAAGGCATAAGCTGTTGATAATTTCTTTAAAAGGTCTGCACCTAGTATCTTCTCTGTTGAATCATAAATCAAGTCTATCGATCACTGCTTATTTAAACAACAGTAAATATTATTTGCTGCTGAATCACCCATGGGAAGGATAGATATAGTACCTGGACTGTGGGCACTGAGTGCTCCAGCAAGAAGAGGTACAGAGTGCTCCATGCCCTTAAGGATTCAAGAAAATTGTTTAGGTAATTGGCTGTCCACAGCCCTTCTCCATGCTCTTAGCCCTGAAAATACCCTCCTCAACAGAAGTGAAGAGACATATCCTTAAACCTTGGTCATAAGCTGGAAACTAACCCTCTCACACAAGGAGTTCTGCAACATGCTTCTTCCCAGAGATAGCAGTTTCAGTAGCAGTGTCAAGGACTGTGTAACAGGAAAATTGCAACTAATCTTTAGAAGTTGGCTGGACCACTTTCCATGAGGAATGGTCAGAAATCAAAGCTGGGTAGTGTTGTTCAGCTGTCCCATCCACTTCATTCTTTAGTCCCTACTGGTGGTCTTCCCTACACCTCTTCAGGGACTCTGCTGTGAGTCCCTTACCTCTTTGCTTTACATGCAAGCCACACAGAAGGTCCTTCAAGAATGTTGAGTAGAGGTTTCACTGCTTGGCGGTTTTGGGTTTTGTTTCATTTTCTTCACAGATGTTACCTTGTTATAGCATCGCATATAAATATGAAGGCAGTCTTCATGTACCATATACATGATGAATCAAATACCTTCAGGATGTGTTTAACATAATGCATCCATTGGCATAGATAGCCCTCTCATCTAGAAGGCTGGACAAGCAGACCAATGGTATTTGTGCATACAGTTTGTTCTGCACGACAGTGGCCCTTTGGTCAGATCATATCTGAAAAAAACACAAATGCATGGTATTGTATGTTCAGCTGATGCTTCTCACTATACTGAGAGGATACTACTTGCCAGTCTCCATCAGTCTGAGCCACACCAACAAAGATGAAGTACTCCAGCAGTCTAGCTCTCCAGCAGTAAGTAGCTGTGGTGCTTCACCTTTTGATCTGTAGACGGTGCAGACTCAAAGGCTCATTCTCTGTTCCATGCTTCATAGTCCTCAATAGGAGCTTCTAATTGTAATTTAAAGTTGTCTTCACTGCTTTCATCTGCCTTGCAAAAAGCAGGGAAGAAACATTCATGTTCATGAAAAGGAATCACAGAAGGGTCACCAGCTCTTTTCCTGTTCCTCCTCCTCTCCCCACTTTATGGGTGCTTGCTGCCACTGTAAAACATGAAAATGCTTTTTCCACCATAAATAAATGAGGGGCCATGGTAAGCAAAAGCCGTGGGTCTAAGTAAGAATAGCACAAATTGCTGGGTCAGAACTTGGAACTTGGCCTCCTGTTCTCTTGTTGAGGGCTTGTCTGGTCTAATAATCAGCACTAAAGGTGCCTGGCCTTTTAATGGAGGGAGGAACCTTAGTGTTTGTGGCTTACCTTGATTTTGATGGGAGTTGTGGCTGCTTGGCTGTTCTAAAATATTTTATCCTAGCTGCCATAGTTGCTTCATGAGGCTCCCTCATTCCACACTGGGCAGTCGTCCCAAGAGAGCAAGATAAAATGTCCATAATTGACGGAGTTCTGGGTAGGTGATATGCTAGTTGAAGATCTATATGTTTAGGACCTTAGTATTCTAGGTATGCATTTGCATAAGTGTGTCAGAGTAACTGTTCATATTATAGTAAGTAATAGACCTTTCTGCCAAGAAGAAGTTGCAGTTTCCTCACAATATATTGCTATGTTGCTGCAAAGCCTATCAGACAGTAGAGGGAGCACAAGTTAACAGTCACTTTTCCCAGTGCCATGGGATAGCAGCACTAATTATATGTAAAACAGCTAACAGAAATGGCAGAAGGAAATAGAAGGGTGAAAGCCGTGTTGGTTAGTAGTACACTGGAAGTGGATGAAAGGGCTGGAGGGAACAGGTTAAATGCCTGAGTATTAGAGAACGAGGAGCTAAATATGGCATCTTAATACGGCACGTGGCAAGAGGCCAGATATGTTAGTTCATAGATCTTAACCCGCTTCCAATATTTGGGTTTGAGCAGGATTAAAAACCAGGAGGGGAGTTTTTTGGGGTTCTGCTTTTGACAGTGATGGAACCTTTGAAGAGCAATTTCAGTGCTGTAGCATCCAAACCCAAATTCTCATCATGTGGGACCTCAGCATCCAAGCCGCAACCCAGCATCATTTCTTCAGTCTGTCTGTACGAAACATTTGATAACTGTGCTCTATAAAATAATTTGTGTGCAGCTACAAAATGTAGTTAGGTGATCATGGCTCGCTGGAAATAAAATGTAGCACTCTGACAACTGATGTTCATATCCAGAATGGTATGCAAATTTAGCTTCTACCTCTGGTTTTAAAAATGTAGCATCTCCAAGGTATAATTTTCTTATACTCTGTTAGACATGTTTATATTATGCAGTACCAGAGCTAGGACATGTTGCTAAAATATAAAGTTTCTTAGGAATCAGCTGCATTAATAACTTTGTTATAACTGAGGATATAAATGAGAATGACATTTATATAACAGACTTTCCAGTGGAAAAGCCAAAGTCTGTTGGCTATAAACCCTCAGAAAGCTTTACCATGAAAAATTATAACAATCAGGGGTTAGATGTTACATTTAGAGAAAATGGAGGGTGAGATGCATGAATCTACTGCTTTTTTTCCAAGTGGAATGACTTGAGCTGAAGTTAACTTTTTACTTCCTAAGATAATATGGTTTGTAGAAAAATAATTCAAACTGCTTAATTTTTAAAGCTTTTTTAATATGAAAACTTCAAAGAGGTTCATTTTACAGTAGTGTAGGTAATGTAGGTAAGGTAGTTAAATATTCCCTCACTGAAATGTAGGTTGAAAAATAGACTTCCATGGCACCTATACAAGTATTTATATAGATCCTTATCTGCAAGAATAGCAACATATTTCTTTTTTTAATTAAAGATCATTATAATTGCTAATGTATGATTGTTTGGGGGCATATGTGAGTCAAACTATGGTTTTGAGAACACAAATTTTGAGAACACCTTAACCTTCACCAAATCCTTCCCCCTGTGCTGTAATGTCTGTGCTGAATTAAAAGATAGGCCCATGTTGGAAATGCCCTATGTCCTTGCCAAGGAGAAGAGCACCTCCAAGAGGACAAAAGAGAAAGCTGGGAATCATTCAGAATAACTGAGGAACAGAATTTTGTAAGACAGTGACTGTTTTGCAGAGAAGCTGATCAGCACTTTGGGAAGGGAACAAAACAACCTTTGAAACCAAAGCAAAGGGGCAGAAGAGGGGTTCAAATTATTTAGGGAAGGCACAATCTCTCACAAAAAATCAAACCTTTCTAGAGAGAGCAGAGGCAGACTCATTGCTGCTAGAAATGGCATAATCAGGCCAACAGGTAAATTCAGGTCTGTTTGTTTTTTTCCCCGTGTATTTGTTCCTTGATTATATATTTTTGTTAGCTTTTTTATTCCTAGTTTTTGGAGGGTGGGGATTTTTTTAACACTTAGGTCTCTCTGATTAATAGGTTCCTTTGCTAAGCCTATATTGCTTTTTTTCATAGTCCTTTACTGATACTACTGGAAAACCAGAGTTTCTCATAGCCAGTATACCCTAGGGTAATGTACTGAAAGAACTGTCTCCAGAAAATTGTTCCTCAAGTGTTGATGTGTCCAGATAGTGGCTTACA